TAGAGGTTTCAAAGAAGAATACTCCAAGTTGGAGCAGGATTGTTTTGCTCTCATTGATAATCTGACGGAACAGAATCCATTCTGTGATGTTGTATTCTCTGGATATTCCTTCGGAGCTGCAATGGCTACTCTCGCGGCATTTCGATATGCAATGGCACGGCCCATGATGCGGGTTGGCTGTTTCACACTGGCATCACCCAAGGTTGGGTTTACTCTTTTCCGCCATGTGGTCAACTCCCTTCCCAACTTAAAAGTGATTAGGCTGGAGCATGGGCAAGACGCCAAATGTCAAGGACCAACAGTCGGTGGCTGGCATGTGGGCCATACGTTGGTCCTTAATGGAACGCTAAGTCATCCAACTGCTACTCAGAAAGTCGAGAAGGTTGTCTTGGCCTACAAGTTTGCCACACCGAAGCAGAAGAAATTCAAGACGACACATCCCGATTTGAGAAACTACATCAACACGTTAGAAGAAATTGCCCGACTTGGCATTCCTTGGGTGAAAGACTTCGCCAATACTGCTGGAGAGGGTGTGGTCGTGAACAACGAGGCTCGCCAGGTCGTATAGCAACTTGATTGAAACCCACGCATCCATGCGTTTTAGACTTGCGGCATTGACTGTGACTTGCACTATTTTACTACATACATTCTTCACAGTCAGTCAAAAGCAAAAAAATAGCCTCATTATTCTAGAGCATGAACTTGTAAACAATTGAGTAATTTTCGTAACTGAGGGCGGCAATATCCACACCACTTGTCTATCTGCAAATATATGCCGCACATCATGGACTGACAGAGATTTTTGACCATAAAATTGGAAGATTCGTAGGCATAGCCAACACGACCAGCCGTAAGAGAAACGTCTCAACGGTGGCAGATGTATGCAACTTTGATTCGACGCTGTGTTCATTTATTGAAAGGGTTCAATTACGCGAAAAATTACACCGTTTTTGAAACAGAATCGCATCCATTCACTTGCGAGCATTTGCCTGTTGATAACGTTAGGTGTGAATCTATTGTCCCGTCACTCATTGAGCACTTATAAATAAAAAATATGTTCTCACTCGAATGAGTTTTCCAGCTGATTTGACTTTGAGTTGTACATAAGTGATCCTACGTACATCGTATGCTGTAGCAAGCCAAACCAATGCTACATTGATTGCTTAATTTCTGGTTAACATGGAACAAGGAGTATGGCATCAGCCAAGTAAAATAACGGAGAAAGGAAGAAATCCCCATCATCCTTTTCAAAGTTTCCATCTGGTGCCAAGTTGACGGGTGTCTGGAGACAAACGAGAGAAGCGTGAAACGAAGATCACGGACAGGTGACAGTGAGCGAAACAACGTGCGGGCGTGCATCAACACACTTTTCATGCTTTGTTATAGTATCTTACCAAAGATATTTCACCAAATGCCCCAATGGCATCCTTGGTACCTCCTACGATTGACAGTGTTCCACCCTCAGAATCAGCAACGACCCCTGACGCTTCCATGGTGAATTCTCGACTCCCATCAAACATTGTATAAGTGAATGTACAATGTCCTCCGCCCAACTGAAGGACAGCACCACTGGAATCTACTAGCCGCGATTGAGTGCGGGTACAAATCCCGTTGCTCCTTGACCCCACCAGTTCGTCCAACGTTTCCGCATCTCTCAAGTCATTGTTGTAAATGTATCGTGTCCCCATATCTTGAACATTGGGATCTTGTGGAAAGACAAAAACGGCCGGTGGAATGGCAGAAAATTGTAGGAACTGCAACGTCATGGGTGACTGACAAACATTGCCAGCTTCACCTCCGTTACCATTTGTCGAGGGAGGATTGACGGAGGGAGGACGAATGGACGGCGGTCGAGATGGTTGATGTGCCGGAGGTTTGTCCGGTAGAAGAACAGGAGGACGTATCGGATTATGGTTGTTATTGCTATTGTTGTTGTTGCCCTTACCCATAACTTCATTGTTGCTCTTGGTGGATTTCTTGGAGTCTTTGTGATTGCGTGGATGTTCGGGTGGCTGTAATACTTGTTGATGTTGTCGATGGTGGACTCTGCCATCATCGTTGGTCCCTATACCATACTGATTGACAGGAGAATCACCAATCATGTGGAATGAATCTCGTCCTGTTGCACTTAGGTTTCTAGAGGAAGAGAGGTTGCGACATCGTGGATTGTTGCTGCTGGATAGAGACTGTGCGGACAAGTTGAGAAATGATGGCAATATTTGCGTCCCATCTGCATTTGTTCGCGACCAGTATCGTCTTCCCACTTCTGATAAGATCCGTTCCTCATGCGATCGCCTTTGTCGAAAGAAGTAAGATTCTGACTCTCGTTGAACGTCTTTTCTCTCTTGCGCAAGGCACGAAAATAATTCGAGCGGAACATTTGTTGTGAAAACGGCGATACAGTGCAGTATCAGCAGCCTTTTTGGTGGACAGGACGAACGTAACAACGTCATGAGTGCTTGTATTTTTGGGACAAATAGTGCTTGGTGAGGGGAACGATGCGATGTTGCGGATATTAAAGGAAGGAGTAGGAGTTAGAATTGTTGAACTTGCTGCATTTCCGATGCATCAATTGGAATATGTCGTAGTGTGTGAAATTTCTTCCAAAACGGACGATGGGTTTTGTGACGATCGAAAGAATCAAATCCGGATTTCGCCTTGCGCGGGTTATCCCTAAAAATAGGGATAACGTCTGCCCTTCTCCACCATGAACAAAGTGCGTCAGTCGCCTCATCATCTTGGCACCGTTCGCTGGGGCTTTGACCCGTCTCCGGCCTCATGAATGATGTTGCTGCAATAACGACCCATCAACCAACACATCATCATCGAGAGAGTGGTTGTCGTTGTTCTTTGTGCACCAGCAGTAAGAGCAGCCAGGTATCAGTGTCTCACTAGCAACAACGATCTACCGGGACTTTTCTGTGCTCCGTATATTAAAAACAATCTAAAATGAATACATTACTGAAGTTGGTGCTGTTTGTTGGCTTAGCCGCATCAACAGGTGCGTGGATTGGGACGGTAGCTGGTAGAGCCCAACGTGGATCCATCATTCTGTGTTTCAGGCCAAAAGCTTTCAGTCTATTGTCCTTGAGGCTTGCACCTTGCCTGTTCTTTTCGATAGAATTTTTTTCTTCTGTTTTGATTACCTGTGCTCATGACAACCTTTCTACAAACTATTCTTTTCACCCTCCTGTTTCCTTCAGATGCTTATGCCTTTGTTCCACGGTCAAGCTCTCTTTCGTCTGTTCCTCGATCGACATCCACACTATCTATGAAGGTCTTTGACTGGAAACGTCGGGGAGCAGACGAAAGCGGCATCAACGATGTGGAGAATTTTGAATTCACACTGGACAATCTCAAGCCAGCTCCCGGATCCCGTAAGTCAAAGACGCGAAAGGGACGTGGTATTGCCGCTGGACAAGGAGCCACATGTGGATTTGGTATGCGCGGACAAAAGTCGAGAAGTGGACGATCTGTACGAGCGGGATTTGAGGGTGGCCAGACGGCTTTGTACCGACGTCTTCCCAAGTTTCAAGGAAAGCCTACCGGACCTGGACATACCAAGAAGGTGTACAACATCATCAAGTTGGATCAGCTCAACACTGTCGCCGCTGGAAGTACCTGCAATTGTAAGTGGGATGATGACGATGACGATGATTCGACAGAAGTGCAGTTCATAACATGAATGGATCAGGACGGTGTTTCTTACTTTTTCTGCTTTTTCCGTTCTATCCATCTGTACCCAGTCGAGTCCCTTTTGGAGAGCAAGGTAGTGACAAAGTCCAAGTACGACGTGCACAAGATTGTCATGGGACGAAACGACTTTACCGGTGAAGGTATTACTGTACAAGCTCATGCCTTCACCAAGTCGGCCCGAGAAGCAATCGAAAACGCAGGTGGCAAGTGCGAAATTCTTAAACCGTCCACTGGAGAAGTAATCGCAGCGTAAAATCTGGAGAGCGTTGGCGATACTTGTGAAGGATGGATGTATCAAGTGATGCATTTCCGGTAGTTTTTAGTTAGTAACGCTTTTACGGAGAGAGTAATACTGTACTTGTTATGGCGATTATTGTGATTATTTTTGTGGTAGACGGTGATTGAAGTAGAGTGGATGTCATAATGTCGTCATCAACATAATGTTGCTCGTACATCATACTGCTTTGACAACTTTTCAGATGTTTTTTGAGTTTCTTCTCACAACGATCATACTATTCGTGACATGCATGCCTCTCTCGCCTCGCCATCCTGTTTGAACGAACAAGACGCTACGTGGCAATGTTTCTTTCATCAACGAACCCATCAACCTGGACCAACGATGCGAAATGCAATATTAAAGAAACAGTTTCACCCTATCTCAGTACTCCTCTGACCACCGCGGAAAAGAATCATTTGTGATGGGAGTCGAAATACTATGACGGTGCCTAGTAGTAGGCAACGTTGTTACTATTTAGTTCCATTCGCCCCTAACAACCTCAACATGAGAGTCTGTGGGTTTTTAGGGTCTGAAAGCAGCGTCTCATCCTCCTCCTATCACAACTTCTTGACCCTCACGCTGACTCATTGATGCACCCTCGTCTCTTCTTCTCTTGCTCACCTGGAATTCCGAGCTTGGATGACAAAGCTCAACAAAGATCTGCAGTGGAACAGAACTACTGTACTGTGAGGATCCGTTGATTCGTTGTTGTTGCTTGTATTCCTACAGTCGTACGTAGTGAGTATTATTAATACTCCGAGTAATACGTCGTACATCTTGTTCTTCTGTCGGAACAAAGTCATAAAAAAACAAAGCGAGGGTAGAGAAAGAGGAATGCTACCGTAGTAGAGATAGAGGTAGAGTAGGAGGTATCATACGGTAGTCTACTCCAGCTACTCTACCGGTAGTAGTGGCAGGTGAAATTTCAGGTTGCAGCCCTTTCCACTTTCCACGGTCGAGCACCATAGCACTTTAGTATATAATGACAGGTAGCAGAAAGCATGCAAGAGGAAAAGAAATCTCCCATGCCTTGATAGCTCAGTTGGAAGAGCGTCAGACTGAAGATCTGAAGGTCCATAGTTCGATTCTGTGTCAAGGCACTTAGGGTTAGGGATAATAATTCTTTTGCTCTTTTGCTGCTTTTTTGCAAACAATGCATAGTCAACTCGCAGTGCTCTGCCGATACCGTTCTCCCTCCAAGTACGACTTCAAAATAGAGTGGAAACATTCCTGGAGGGCGAGATAGTGCTTTACCTGGACGACAGCCAGTTGCATGCCGTTGTGCTGCACAATCCAGTTTGTGTGGCAAGCGATGCCAGACGGTGCATTTCACATGAGCTACGGTGGCAACGTGGACGTGCTGTTGCCACATTGTGCAACTTTGGGCGTTTAGCTCGAGGAGAATCGATCCTCTCACCCAAGGACCGTTTCTTCAATCCCATCCATGCTATGCTAGCCTTTTACATTATCCTCAATGGGTACCACAGCGGAAACCGGCAAGCTGCCGCCTTTTATCGCGATTTTGTTACTTCCGAGACCACCAACGCTCTCATCTATAATGGATTGGACAAGTCGGTGGAAAATGGAGCAGTGGCGATGCGGTTGCGTCGAAAATACACCGGTGCTCGTGGTCGGGAACTTATGGCGAGATTTGACGATGGAGACAAGGTTCGACGCCATGATTCCTGTATCATGAAGAAGGCTCGGAGTATGACTTCCCAACATCCAGAAAATAGTTCCGAAGAAGTTTTGGGAAAACAGTTGATCTCATTGTTTGACTCGTATCCCAGCCGCCGCTCATGCAACTTCAAGCATTTTGTCGGCAAGCATCTGAACAGTCCATTGAAAGATGACTTACTTGGAGTATGGGAAGCCAACACTGCCAATCCTGGCAATAGAGCAACGGGACCCAACAAAGCCGCAACCAAACTGAGAGTCAACTATAATGACCATAGCGTGGCAGAGCTTTTAAGGACTCACGGTCCTCAAAATGGAAAACTCGATGGCAAACAATTTTGGATCAAGAACAGCCAAGAAGTTGTCGAACGTCCAGCCGATGGAACTCCATCAACCAAACCATCCATCTCCTTCCCAGATGGAAAATTTGTTTACGACGACTTTTGCTTGTTGGGCCTACGGGAACGGTTCAGAGACCGAGAGCGTCAGGATACCTGTCACAACACTGTGCAGGCAACCAAACATCCTGGTTTCAGATTGAAGACATGTATGGAGTACATTGACGGTCAGAATTGCTTTGCCATTTCATGCAAAGGATATACACTGGTATACATTGTTACTCAAAAGTCCAAGCCTGTACAATCCGATTCCAGCATCATTCCGTTGGATCAACACTGTTCCAAACCAACCAGGCTACCAAATTCTAACTTCTCCAATGATTGTGTGGTCTGTGTTGCCAAGGCAGAACAGCAGTATCCTGGAATGAACCGAAGAGAGATGCGTCGCAAAAAACTCCTGACAAAATCTTTGTTTGGGTGTCCCCAGTGCAAAAAGGGGAAGGGGGTGTCCGTTTGTAGGAATTGTTGGAATGATTTCGATCATGAACTGTATTACATGAAAGAAAAATGAAATAAAAATATGATTGGCAACGGATGAGACACCATCCTCGCTGTATCATCTCCATCGTCGTCGTCATTGTCGATGTCGTTCTGGGAAGGGAAAAGACGAAACAGATGGATCAAAGTCGGATGGTTACGATGTTTACTTAGCAGTATCATCCGTTGTCGATACACTATGACGATCTTGAGTTGCTCGATTGGCAGTGTTGGACAGCACCACAGAAGGCCTCGAAGGGAGGGTAGTGGCTCGGGCACATCTTTGGGCAAGACAGTAAAAATGGGGATATTTGCCTCTATGGCATATGGGAATCCGAGTTCGGCGTGAGGGTTGGTGTCAGCGTCATCATCACCTTGCTTCGGAATTTTGAACGGGCGGCGGGTGTCGACGGTAAAGAAGTGAGAGGACTGGATGTCGGTGTTGCAGCCATCATACCAAGGAAATACCAATCCAAGAAACGGGGGTCATGAGATTGAATATAAGACAAGGGAGTGGCTGTTGATCGTTTCCGAGGCAACAACGAGGTAGCGATGGTGACCAAAACGTTCCACAAGAAACAATCGACTTGGAGAAAACGATACTCTGACGTAACATGACAGCGAATCGACAACTGACATGATGCTGAAATGACGGCAGGAAAGGGATTTCAGACCAATTTCACTAGCGGACCGAGACATCATAAAACCTTTTTGTGAAATTACTGCCAAATTCGTGAAGAAGGAAACTTCTTTGGAACGCCACTTCGAAAGTTCACCGTTCAGCTCAAATGTCGGACTAACACAACTAAAGTGCAATGCATATTGCATCCTAAGCGCCGATGGTCCGTCGAATTTGAAAATCGCATGTACCAAGAATTTTCAAAGACGTTTTGAATACTATCATGAAGAGTATGGAATTGACGAGTGGCGCTACCTAGGTAGAGTAGTCGAAGTAAACAATTTAATGAAAGCACTATTCAGTGTGTGTTTATTCTGTCTGAACATAGGTAATTATTATCATGATATTACTCGTTCCACTGTGAACTGCAATCAATCCAATAGCAACTAACACCAGGCGAAACAATTTTTCTTCGAACAAAAAATAATAGTATTTCTCTCTCGCGTCTCCACCCGATCAAAAGCGGATTGGACAGTGAACGTAGCAGCCCGTTCTTACTAAAGAGTAAAATGGAAATCCACCATAGCAATTCAATTCACTTCAACCATTGCTTCCAGTATCGCCATTGCCGATATTGCCAAGCCCACGAACATCTTTGTGCTGCCGACTCTGGCAACACCACTACTGGCACCCATGGTGTTAGTCTCCAATCCTGGAATGCTGCCGTTTGGACAGCAAGCAATGCGAGCCTGTTGTAGCAGAGTATCACACGATCGACTATTGGTAATGAACTTGGCGAACTCCTCTGCTTGACTGCACTTGCGCTCGAAGACAGCGTCGGGAGGTCTGGCATAGATAAAGTCGGGATTGACCACAGCATTTCCATTGCAAATGGAACATTCGGGATTGTCCGCTGGTGGCTCTTCCACTCCCGGACAAACGCAGAAGGCGGCAAAATTGACCCCAAAATTGTCAGGGTAAACTTGACACTCATCAGCGGTGAAGGCAGAGAACAAAAATTCTAATCCACGGCAATTGGAATTGGTGGCCCAAGCTTCTCCGCGGTCAGGGTTGCCTGGATTGGATCCGTCAGGACACAAATAGCATTCTTGTTGGATGTTGGGGCAACCACAGTAGTGGGAGGTACGTTGCAAAAAGGTATCGGCACAATTTCCCTCTTGTCCGGGAATCAAGTTGGTTCGAGAGTTTGGTTGGAACTGAAATTCATTGCAGGTTGGATCAGTGGCAAACTCTCCTGTAGGAATAGGGTCGTTTAGACCGGAGGGGGTCGTTCCATCAGGACAAATGCTACAGTAATCATAGGGTGGACCATTGCAGCATCGCTTTTGGAAGTTCGCCAGCTGAGCGCTCTTACAGCTGGTGTCTGTCTCGGCAAATCCTTCAACCGAGACAAGTTGTGAGGCGTCACATAATGGTTCGCCGCTGGCGCACGACGTACACTGGGCGTCAGCCCTGGATGCCGCCAAAAGGATTGAAAGGGTGATTGTCAGGAATCTGGATGTCGTCATGATAGGAGAGAAAAGGGTTTTGAAAATAGGATCGCGATGGGATTGCACAGATTGTCACAGAAAGAGTTAATTGTCTACAGCGTAGCTGCGAGACTTCAATGTCGTTTGTGAACGAATGCCGTCGATGTTGAGGCACACGTCGAACTATTCTACGGTATCAGGTAGTCGTATTGATTGCATAGATGATTTTGATGGATGCAGTTTCTTTACAGTTAAGTTGTTGTCGTGTGAAAAAAGTTAGAGTTTGAACGATCGATTCGATGCGAAGCCTGTTGGGCACGATGTCGATGACTGTTTCTTGGTCACAATTTTACTCCTAACAGTAAAGTCATTTGGACGGAAAAAAAATGAAATCGCAGCCATGACGCCATGACCCATGACCTGACAGAGTGAATCCACATTTTACGAAGCAGTACGCTGCACGACCACCGTATCTATTATGTGTACAAAGACAAATATCAAATAGGTAGTTACCCTACTACCGGTAGTAGTAGAGCATGAGCGTATGAATGATGTGTGTGTGAAATAACTGCAAATAACTGTAAACAAAATGTCCAACGCGAATGAGGAAAAGTTCAAACAACCAGTGAGAGTGTCCTTTGTGGGCGTGGTCTTCCAAAAACAATGATGAGAAGGCAGCAATAACCACAATACGAGTAGTGCGTTGGCTGTGTTGATATCTTTTACTTGTTGCAACCCAAAAGGGCAGATTGTACGTGTACGTTTTGACCCTCCCTACTAGCTAGAGAGAGTGTGGAATTGGCTACACTGATACTCCTATTAGTTTCAAAAGCACTCCGTATCTACTACACCGAGTACGACAGCAAGAAAATAACATCATTATTCACACCACCCCATCCACACCAGCCAAAACACCGACATCCATCTACCCCATGCTCCCCCGGTGCCCAGTAGTCTTGAAGCACTGCTCCCTGGAATGACAATGATTGAATTGCCATCGGAATCCGTCCCGGATGACAAACTGTTTTCGCTGCTTCCATCGGTGAAACGACGACAAGCACAATTACTCAAGGCCCTAGAGCTATCTAACAATTCCCAACATTCGTACTCACTGGTGACCAGTCGAGCCGATAGTTCCACTTCTTCGCAGGTTTGTTGCTGAAACGCAAACAGCACCCGTCGCGGATACGACAGCTCCTCCCCAGACGGACAAATACGGCAATCATAAGAAGTATCCATTGGCCTGCTGTCTTGGCCGGGATCAGACGTTGGTGGTGATGGAGAATATGATCCTTCCATGGATCCTTCCACACTTGATGATGCTTTACCATCCGTTCCATTGCAACATAAAGTCACGGCATCAAACCCCAACATGTTTGTGGCATCCCCGCATTGACTGGCTGTGAACTTGGCATATTCTGCCACTAGATAACTGCACG